GAAGTATCTTACATAGGCTGGCGGAGGGGACAAAGTAGATGTTTTTGAAGAAGTTCTAAACTGAGATCTGCAAGTGAATACGGGGGGACAAGAGGGAAGGGGAGAGTTGGACATCCAAAAGAAACCAGGACAAAGCTGAAATTCAACATCACAGACTTACAAAAGTGACAGTAGTACAGTGTGGCTTATAATAGAACTGTAAGTAGAAATGGGGAGAGACAGGCCAGAGAGGCAATGAAGGGAAACATGGACTTAAGAGCCAGTGAATTTCAACCAGAGAGCACTCCCACTGGCACAACCACCAAGGAAGCCCTGCAGAATGCCCTACAGGAGTGCAGGGGGTGAATGGAGGTGCAGGAAGTAAATTTAAACCAAACCCATCCCTTGTCTTGGCTTCTCTCTACCACTCAGCTTTTTTTTTTTTTCAATTATTTCTTTCTCACTGCATTCTAGCTTCCTTTGCATCTCAAATATATCATAAAATATGCCGGCCAACACCCTTTTCATTTATGCATTAACAGTCAGTTGTTACAGGGACAAATAGGCTGAGTTCTCTTTTTTTTAGTTTCAGTATCCTAGGCAGGAACGTCACATGGTCAGATGAGTATACCTGAACTTTTAAATGTGGTTGGAGGGAATGTGCAACCTGCAATAGTAGACAGCTTCCACAGACACTGCACAGTTATGCAGAGAGGTGAGTTTATAGAAGCAGGAATGGTGAGAAGATTTCTAAGTATGAGAAAGGGTTCAGGACAGAAAAAGTTACGGGTGTTCACTTCATTGACACACAAGATTGTAATGATTGAAAGGTAATGGATGTAAAATCAAAGGGCATAGTGACATGCGGGTGTTGTTCGGTTGAGTTACTGTTGTTGAATTGATTTTAGTCTCTTGAGAAATGTAAAGTACTCACAAGGACCCCTTGTTTTGTCTTACTATGGCCATGACTACCTCCACTCAGCCCCCAGGCACACTCGCTTTTCTGGGAGGTACAACAACTCCAACAGTTTATTGTCCTAGCACTGGCTCTATAAAATTGATCAAAGCTTGAGCAATTAGTCCCATATCTGGAACTCCTCCAACTGGGACAAAAACAGAAAGAGGGTGCACAGAGTAGCTTCAGTTTAGACAGGACATGGGAGCTACTGGTAGATATGTTTTCAATGAGGATAAAGGCACATAGAAAAGCAACTTGTAACCTGGAAGACAAATGAAGGAGACTCAGAAAAAGAAACCAACCAGCTCCAGAACATAGTTCTGTGCCTGAAATCCAGCTGCCACTCAGTCCTTGGAGTCTATAAGATACTGCAGTGCTTTGCCACTAAGGTTGAGCTGCTGTTCAATTACTTGCAGTCAAATCTGTCATTACAAATACTCCCTGTCCAGAAACCTTATTACACTTTTATCTACTCAAATTCCCTAACTTTTATGAAAAAGTTGTACACATCATCACTGTGAAGATTTATAATCAACATGCTAAACTTTTGTAGAATGACTACAGGTAGAACCCTAAACAATATCAGAGTTTTGCATAAAAATTGTTAACTATTCTAGATATTGGATTTTTTAACTGTATAAGGTTATATAATGTGTCCACAACCCATCGAGGTTTTTATACATTGAAAGATTTCCTCTCTAGCCCTATAAAGCAGAGGAAGTAAGAAGGAGAACCACTTTCACACCTCTAGCCAGTAAATTATCAGAGATCAGTTTGAAGGACAGCCCTTCTGTGATGCTGTTATGGGAAAGTGAATCATTTCTGTCCCTTTTTTCTTGAATGCCCTTGAGGGCCATACACAAAAAAAGGGGATCTGTAACAAGCTTTTATGTCTGGAGAACAGTTTTACCTGACTCTAGCACAAAATGGAAGGTGGGAGGAGAAGGCATTTCTTCTCTTAAGGCTTGAGATGAAGAGAAATGAAACAAGTTCAGTATTTAAGAAAGACTTGGAGATCACATTAAAGAAAGAAAAATAATTGGAGACAGTCAATCAAAAAGTGTCTATTATGTGCCATCTTCATGTGGCACTGGGCTGGGTGCCTGACAAAGCAAACTGAGCCAAGGCAGTTCTTAACTTTAAGTTGTATAATCTAAAATTAAGCTTCAACATTATATGCAGGGCTTTGGGGCAACATGACAAAAGACATTTTTATTTCTAACAAGTTCTAAAATTATTTTTACTTCATGTGCCATTTTTCAAAAGCAATCCAGAATTTTATTTTTGAGGTCATTTGTTGCTGTCCCATAATTGCTTATACAGAAATTCCTATAATTTTAAATTGTTACTGGGAAATACACTTAAAGAATGTTAGAAACCTGTCCATTTTAATCGAAGAAATATATTTTGAAAGAAAACATCTCCTCAGACCATTACAGCATACTGTTCACTTAGATCACAATGACTATATTTTAATCAGGTACCCATAAATACTACAATATTGAGAAAAAGCTTGGGTTCTAATCCTGACTCTTTCATTAACTACCTGGAAGGATTAGGGACATCTCTATTCTTTTTGTGCTCACATATCCTCATTTGAAAATGGCTAAGGCACTGTTGAATAATATTATATTCCAAAACATAGTAAATATTTTTCACATTCACATAATTTCCATATTAGTGATTCACATTCTTTACATTGTTTATTTAAAAATCTCTCTTTTGTCCAGAGAGTTTATCCAACAGAAGGAAATCTGGAAACTCTAGCAATAGGTCCAACACTGGTACTAATATTCATGAGTTATAACAAGAATAACTCATTATAAGTGCATATTGTCCTATTTTTATGTGATATATGCAGTATTAGCTAAAAACATGGACTGTGTTTAAAAACTATTGTGTTTTCAGTGGTCCTTGCATAAGAAAGCATTATGGAAATAGAATGATTGGAGAAATGGTTGAAAATATTTATAGTGATTTTCCAGGTGGTGCATTGTGTGTATGCGTATGCATGTGTTTTATTTTCAATTTCTTCAATAAATGTTATTCTTAAAATAAGGGGCATGTAAATTTTAAAAGAATACTGTTCAGTTAGAATTAACCAAACTATTGGATTCAGTAATGCTTTTCCTTCCACCCATAACACATGGACTGCCAAAGGGCTGCCCAGTTACTGACAGGTTACTCCATAGGAGACTCAGGCACTTCTGCTTCCAGCCCTCTCCTCCAGTAGTGTTGCTTACCAGAGTCAAAACCAGTTGTGTCTGCTTCTTTACTTGTGAAAGTCACTTGTACTTGTCATTGTAATTATGCAAATTAACATTATATTAAAAAGTGATGAGACATGATTATGAAAATAAAGTCATTTCTTTAAATGTTTCAGAAAGATTTGATTTTTAAAATGTTAAGTTAGATGTAAGAAAACTATAAAATGTTATGATAAAAAGTTAAAAATGCTTATGCTTTTAGATTGCTTTATTAAGTGTTAAGTTCTTAACTTTAATGAACACCAAACTGGAAATGTAAATGATATGTTATAGGTGTGTGGTCTATGCAAAAAAGAAGGTAAGGACCTTCATTCAGGAAATAGAACTCATGTTATTGGCCTCATCCCAAAAGCTTGGTGAATAAATGAACATTTATATATTTTAGATTAAAATAAGTATTTAAGGTATATATTAACTTTTCAATGATTCCTTACTTTCACTGCTTTTTAATTCTGTAACCAAATACAGATTCTAATAGAGTTAGATAAGAGAATTCCCATTATAACTATTTATTTACAAGCCCAAGTGTTAATCATCCTGTGGCCCCTTTCCTACTACCTATTATACTTCAATTTCAAACCCTTTCCTGCCAAATATTTATTTTATAATCAACCATATATAGATACCCTTTGAACTTAAAACCTGAAAGAAAACAGTCTGAAAACAATTATCTTAAAAGTTCCCATAACAAATCAGCCTTCAATCCTGACTATTATTCTAGGCACTGTTATTTGTATAGGGAATTCCTTTTTTGGTCAAGTCTATACATTCACCCAGGTTTGTAGCCCCACGCAGAGCTTAGTATTATTACTCTAGTTTATAGCTTTAGAAAATTTTAAAAAGCAACAACACATCTTCACCAAATTATGTAAAGTGTTACTATTTCCCAGAATGGTTTGTGGGGGGAAAAAGTACATATACATATAACTATTTAAGCACTTACTAATTTAGCAAATATTTACCTGCTATCTGTTACGCAAAAAACAGTGAGGTATATTTGCACATTTACAAAAATACAGCTACTCTGTAAGGAAGCTTGATATGTCTATTGTCCTAGCTCTAGGAAAGATGTCTTTTGATTATTTTATTTTTGTTATGTGTGTGTGTGTTTTTGTTTGTTTTTGAGTTGCAGTCTCGCTCTGTCACCTAGGCTGGAGTACAGTGGCACAATCTTGGCTCACTGCAACCTCTGCCTCCTGGGTTCAAGCGATTCTCCTGCCTCAGCCTCCCGAGCAGCTGGGATTACAGGTGCATGCTGCCATGCCCGGCTAGTTTTTTGTATTTCAGTAGAGACAGGGTTTCACCATGTTGCCCAGTCTGGTCTCGAACTCCTGAGCTCAGGCAATCCACCCGCCTCAGCCTCCCGAAGTGCTGGGATTACAAGTGTGAGCCACCACGCCCGGATCTTTTGATGATTTTAAACCAATAGGTATAAAATAGACTATGTAAAAAGGGAAGTGAAATCTAATGGTACAGCTTAGAAAAATCCTCAGATAAAAAAGCATTTTTCCCAGAAAAACAATAGCAAATGATTTAATTTTTAAAAGATGGCCAAGAAAGACCAAAAGAAAATCAAAATACCATGGGAAACTCTCAAGATTTAGGTTAAAGGTTATTTTAATCTACAGTTAATATCTCAAAAATTCTTCATGATTTTCTACTAAAATTGGTACACTGAAACAATGCCTGACATATTTTCTCACTATATGTCTTCAACAATGCATGGTTGCTAATGACAGCATTTGCTCATGAGCCTTCCCTGCAAGAGAGAGAAAGCCCCTGGGGTGGAGAATTTTCTACAACAGCAGACCTGCCATAGCAGATCTGTCAGGGTGAGTCAGACAGGCATTCTGCTCCCTAAGGATGACAAGAAAACAAATAAAAATAAAACTAAATGCAAACATTTTCATAAAAGGCATTTGGCAAATTAGCAGCTGCCCTAAGGAATTCAAAGCAAGGGCAAAAACTATTAGCACTTCATTCACAAAAATGTTTTGATTTCAATATTTCAAATAGATACATTAAACCATATATGTCTTCTGATAGTTTTGCACAAATATATATTGTGGAAAGTTGGCCAACATTACAATGATTTCATTCACACACAGCTCATGCTCCTCTTTTTTTTTTTTTTTTTTGATACAAATACTTGTCAATTTCTACTACTGCAAGGCACAGTGCTAGGCACTGGGGAATGCAAGGATGAGCAGAAACCAACAAGGACTGTATCTCCATCCTGCGGAGCCCACACAGTTTAATGAGGATGGGGAGGCAGGCGTAGTAATTAAAAGTTCCTATAAGCACATGAGAAATTGCAATGGGCACAAATTTGAAGGAGAGATATGTGGTGTATGTGGTGCTTAGAATCTATGATTGGAGTACTTTAACTAAACCAGAAATTGAAAACAACTTCTATAAAGAATTTCTGAAGGACCCTTAGATATTAACTAAGCAGGGAGGGGAAAGGTTATTGTGGGCAGAGGAAACACCCATGTCCTAAGGCATGGTGGCAGGAAACGGTATGATCAGTTGAGGGGGCTGAAAGGAGGTCATTGTGGCTAATGTGGAGAGTGCCAAGGCACTGCGGCATGAATGGGGCTGAAGACATGGGGGATCCACATCCTAAAGGGCCTCAGAGGCATGATACAGAGTTCTGTCTCCACCCTGAGAGAGAAATAAAGTCAATGAAGCATTTAAGGGGCGTGTGTCTGCATGTGTGTGTCTGCTTGTGGGGGTGTCAACCGGTTTGAGAGACATGACATGATCAGATTTGTTTTTATTCTTTATTTAATCAACTCTTAATTTTACCAACAGACAGCTATCCTGCTAACAGTTTCTGCATATGGTAAGAGTAATTGGGGTTGAATACAAAGTGGTTTTACATCTAGACTGTGGAAAGTACAAATAAGTCTACATAAAAAGAAAATCACAAGTTTTGCATGTTCTTATATGTAACACAATGCAACTGAATGACTTTTTAAAATGTACAATTTGTATTCAGAGATAGTATAATTTGCTATTCTTAACATGAAGAGAATCAAGGAAAATCGCCTTCCTACTAAAACCAATTAAATATTTGAATCGCCTTTAAGCATGTACATTACACTCTTGTTCCTGATCAATATAATGAGTAAAATATCCTGTACCCACCAGTATTAGTTACATGCAAAGAGGAATAGTGTCCCCCTTTTTTCCTGGGAACTTAGGAATAGTAAATGCACAAGAGGTTAGAAATATAAAAATTCTGAATCCATTCTGGGTATAGCATGCTGAATAATGCGCTGAGTAATAACACACAGAATGACAATAACAATAGCTTGCTGTTATGAGTGACTTTAGTAATAAAAAGAAATCAACCCATAGAATATTATCATTTCAAGTCAATCTGGTAACATAGCAATATACCTATAGAATTATGGACAAAATTATACATGTCATAACATTCCAGTTTTTAATTGATTGAATGCATGTTATGTGCTAGGTGTTTCCAACATTTCACATTATCTTTGTGAGATAGTTATTTGCAGGAGGGGTACTCACAGAGCTTGACGCCCAGGCCTGCTGAAGCCTGAGTGTGAGTAATAGAACCTCACTTCATCCCACATCCATGTAAACACTCAAGAAGGTGCTAATTTTGTTTTGCAGTAGTTATTTGCACCTAGTGAGGAAGCAGGCCTGTAGCCAGAGTCTCCAGAACAGCCTAGCTGATACCATGAGGAAAAAGAAAAAAAAGAGAAAGGCAAAGGAAGCTTCTCCTACCTGATGGTGTTCTTGCTCCATTTAGGCAGTATCATCTGAAGCTATGTAATTTCACTGCAATGCTGAGGTCATATGAGAAGTCACAACTGCCTCTGAAACCTCACTGTGCTAACTCCTGTTTTACGTGTCTGTTCTCTGTTTTTTCTGCCTCTCTGGTTTCCTAACCATTTGCCATTAAAATCTTCTAACTGTCTGTTGACTGCATTCCCATCCTATTGTGACAATATAGAAAGTATTACACTCATTTTATAAATAAAGACACTGAAGCCCTAAGCATAACAGTCACTCATCCAAATTAACCAGTAATAATATTGAGGTTCTAATAAACACAACTGTGCCCTTTGCATATGTAACCGTTAGGAAAGGGCGAGAAGGCTGAATACACACTTACAGGGTGAAGAGAAACAAAAACCAATTCTATAAATGTGTAATCGTGACACTGTGTGGAGAAAATTTAGGTTGTTTCTTTTGATATTACACATGAAAATCATATATGATAATATGAATATGTTTATTTTACCATCAAATAAGCTCTATGAATACAGGAAATGTGTCTATTTCATTCACCTATTTAAGGCCAGTGTCAAGCAGAGCCCTGCATGTCATAGTCACTTAATACTTAAATTTTTAAATTTTCAAATGCCCATTGATTTAAATTATTTCATTTCTTCATTAAGGTGAAAAATGTAGTTTGGTTATTTGAGGACTATAAGTGATGTTTCTGTGAGCATTTCTTGGATGATACTAATATTTAAATTGGTGGACTTTGATCAAAGCAGATTGCCGTCTGTGGGTGGGCCCCATCCAATCAGTTGAAAGTCTAAATAAAGACTGCCCTTCCCAAGCAAGAGAGGATTCTGCCAGCAGTCTGCCTTTAGATTTCAACTGCAATACCAGCTCTTTAGACCTCCTGCCAATTTAGTGAGCCAATTTGTCCAAGTAAATTTCTCTCTCTTTCTACACACACATACACATGCACACACACATACAGCCTATTGGTTCTGTTTCTCTGGAGAACCCTGACATAATACAATTAGTATTAGCATAACTTTTTAAGAATATGGGCATTTCAGTATAAACAATCTTAAATGATGTACAGACTATTAAGATGGGGTGGAAAGAACATGAAGTAGAAAAGTCACAGGGCCAGGTCCGAGATTTCTCTATTTATTTATTCATTCACTTATTTATTCATTATATACTTTCTGAGCATCTATGATAACCCCAGACACTGTTCCAGGAGCTGAGGATACAGTGGAGAAGGAGGTTGACCAGCTCCTTCCTCTTATGCTTGTTTAAAACTGGTGGAATAGATGAACAATATGTAAGTCAACAATTGTGTTAGTCAGAGTTCCCTAGAGAGAAAGAACTAATAGGATATATGTATATATGAAGAGGAGTTTATTAAGGAATATTTTCACACAAACACAAGGTAAAGTCCCACAACAGGCCCTCTGCAAGCGGAGGAGCAAGGAAGCCAGTCCAAGTCCCAAAACTTCAAAAATCGGGAAGCTGACAGTGCAGCCTTCATCTGAGGCCAAAGGCCCAAGAGCCCCTGGCAAACCACTGGTGTAAGTCCAAGAGTCCAAAAGCTAACGAACTTGAAGTCTGATGTCAAGGGCAGGAAGCATCCAGCACAGGAGAAAGATGGAGGCTGGAAGACGCAGCAAGTCAAGTCCTTCCAATTTCTGCCTGCTTTACTCTAGCCACGCTGGCAGCTGATTAGCTGGTGCCCTCCCAGTTTGAGGGTGGGTCGGCCTCTCCCAGTCCACTAAGTCAAATGTTAATCTCCTTTGGCAACACCCTTACAGACACACCCAGGATCAATACTTTGCATCCTTCAATCCAATCAAGTTGATACTCAATAGTAACCATCACAAGTAAACAGACGAGTTACTTTCAGAAAATAAAGAAAAAATAAAACAGGCAAGTATGATACAGAATTCTTTAGAGTGGGTAATCAAGGAAGGCTTCTCCGAAGAGGTGACTTTTGAGTGGAAAGATGACTAGAAATAAGAAGCCAGCCATGCCAAGATCTGGAGTCAGAGCGTCTCAGGCAGAGGAAATAGCAAGTACGAAGGCCTGGAGGCAGGAGAGTATTTGCCCAGAGTACCTGATACAAATTCCTTGGCCTCTCTGAGCCATGGTTCTTCATCTGTAAATTAAGGGTGATGAGACATAAAGAGTTGTTGTTAGAATGAGATAATGTTTATAAAGTCTGAAGCACAACTATGGCATATAAAAGAAACTTGAGAAATGGTCATTATTAAGGGAGTGTAGTAGAAAGATATAATTTAAACTGGGAGCAGGCGAGCATACAGAAATGACTTTCAAGGACATTGAAACTAAACTTTGAAGGATGAACCAGAGGAACCAGAGACTGTCAGATGGTGAAGGAGGAGAATATTCTAAGCAACATTAACAACACACATGTACACCATGCACGCACACACATGCGTGGGCATGCGCACACACACATCACTCATATTCTTACTTCACTGTGGTTTTGTTGCTGGTGAGCAGGTACAGATTCTTGACTTCACCGCACAAAAGAATTTGAGAGCAAGCCTAAAGTAAGAGTAAGTAAAGTTTATTGCAAAGCAAAAGTACACTCTGAGAGGCAGAGCAAGCTACTCAGAGGGAGACAGCAGTTAGTGCCTCAAAGGAATTCCTTTTATGGAAGCTGTACATACATTTTCATAAAATACGACCTGGGAAGGTCAAGTATGCAAAGGCAGACCTGCTGCTGGAGCACGCGCTTAGCTGTAACACATATCGCATGTATCATGCCCTAACACAAATCGTGTGTATCATGAGCATATAAAATCTCCACCTACGGGTGCTTTTTTTATTATTATTATTAAAATGAGGAAAACGTTACTAAAAGCTAAAGCTTGAGCCTAATTGCATATGCAGGACACCAGAGAAGCCCCTGGCCACCCCCTTTCCTTTCTCCTCCCCCTTCCCTTCCCCCAAGGCAGGAATTTGTACCTAATAGCTTCTCTGGTGCTGATTGCTTGGAGAATGGGGAAATTCCATCAGGAATAAGAAACTTCTATTCTCTTTCCCAGGCCACGCTGGATGTCAGGAACTTGTAACTATCTGGTTGGTGGTCTGCTGGTATCCTGCAGGACTGCTTACCTTGCAAAAGAGGTACTGATGCACACGAGGATGCAAGGGATGTAGAGCTGTGTATGGAGGGCCCCGTGGGGCTTCACACAAGGGTGCCTCCGGAATTGGTGGGTTCTTGGTCTCACTGACTTAAAGAATGAAGACGTGGACCCTCGCGGTGAGTGTTACAGTTCTTAAAGATGATGTGCCCGGAGTTTGTTCCCTCAGACGTTCAGATGTGTCTGGAGCTTCTTCCTTCTGGTGGGTTTGTGGTCTCGTGGGCTTCAGGAGTGAAGCTGTAGACCTTCACAGTGAGTGTTACAGCTCATAAAGGCAGTGTGGACCCAGAGTGAGCAGCAGCAAGATTTATTGCAAAAAGTGAAAGAATAAAGCTTCCACAGTGTGGAAGGGCACCCGAGTGGGTTGCCCCTGGCTGGCTTCACAGCCTGCTTTTATTCCCTTATCTGACCCCACCCACATCCTGCTGATTGGTCCATTTTACAGAGAGCTGGTTGGTCTATCTTAGAGCTGATTGGTCCATTTTGACAGAGTACTGATTGGTGCGTTTACAATCCTTGAGCCAGACACAGAGTTCTAGATGGAAAAGTTCTCCAAGTCCCCACTAGGTTAGCTAAACTAAACACAGTTAGCTAGATACAGAGTACTGATTGGTGTATTTACAAACCCTGAGCTAGACACAGTCACAGAGTGCTAGTCCTCCAAGTCTCCACTAGGTGGTTAGCTAGTTACAGAGTACCAATTGGTGTATTCACAAACCCTCAGCTAGACACAAAGTGCTGATTGGTGCATTTACAATCCTTGAGCTAGACACAGAATCACAGAGTGCTAGTCCCCCAAGTCTCCACTAGGTTAGCTAGGTACAGAGTGCTGATTGGTACACATACAATCCTCTGGCTAGATATAAAAGTTCTCCAAGTCCCTATCCAGTTTAGGAGCCCAGCTGGCTTCACCCACTGGATCCTGCACTGGGAGAGCAGGCAGAGCTGCCCCCCAGTCCCGAACTGCCCCTGCACTCCTCAGTCCTTGGGCTGTCGATGGGAGGGGGCCACGGAGCAGGGGGTGGAGCTCCTTGGGGAGGCTCAGGCCGTTGGGAGCCCACCACAGGAGGAGGAGCTCAGACATGGCGGACTAGAGGTCTCGAGCCCTGTCCCGCGGGGAGGCTGCTAAACCCAGTGAGAATTTAAGTGTAGCGCCAGCGGGCCAGCACTGCTAAGGGGCCTGGTGCAAACTCCGCAGCTGCTGGCCCCAGTGCTAAGTCCCTCAGTACCCTGGGCTAGCAGCGCTGGCTGGCCACTCCATGTGCGGAGCCCGTCCAGCCCGGCCTGTACCTGCCAGAACTCGCACTGGCCTGCCAGCACCCTGGCAGCCCCGGTTCCTGCCCGTGCCTCTCCCTCCACACTTCCCCGTGAGCAGAAGGAGGCAGCTTCCCCCTAGCCAGCTCAGAGAGAGGCTCCTAGGGTGCCGTGGCAGGCTGAAGGGCTCGTCAAGCACTGCCAGAGTGGACACCAAGACCAAGGAGGCACCGAGAGTGAGGGCTGCTAGCACATTGTCACCTCTCAAGGGGACAAAGTCAGTATGGCCCCAGATACGGTTTGGCTCTGTGGCCCCAACCAAATCTCATCTCGAATTATAATCCCCAGGTAACAGAGGAGGGGCCTGGTGGGAGGTGATTGAATCATGGGGGCCGATTTCCCCCTTGCTGTTCTCTTGATAGTGAGTGAGTTCTCTTGAGATCCAGTTGTTTAAAAGTGTGTGGCACTTCCCCCTTCTCTCTTTCTCTCCTGCTCCTCCATGGTAAGACCTACTTGCATCCCTTTCGCCTTCCGCCATGATTGTAAATTTCCTGAGGCCTCCCAGCCAGGCTTCCCGGACAGCCTGCAGAATTATGAGTCAATTAAACCTCTTTTCTTCATCAATTACCCAGTCTCAGGTAGTTCTTTATAGCTGTGTGAAAATGAACTAATACAGCTCCCTAATCTTACTTATCCTGCCTCAGTTTGATTGTTGTGTTTAAATTAAAATCACCCTACTTTGAAATTATAACAAAACCACAAAATTTTATTAATTTACATGCCAAATCTTTCAAAACTCATAGGTCTACTTTATATAGCTCGCAATGCAGAAAGGAAAAAGAGAAAGAGAGAGAAAAATATAGAATATGAACGGCAGAGATAAAAAGCCAAGAGACACATGGAGAACAATGATAGAGGAAGTAAGTGAATGAAGAGGCATCCAGGAAGGAAGAAGCGTGTGGATTTAGGGAGAGATGGAGATGATGGTAGAGGAAAAAAGAGGCCAAAAAAGGCGGAGGAGGAGGAAGCCGAATCATCCAGTTGTCTGGAGCTGAGCAGACCAGGCAAAATGGCAGCAAGCTAACCTTGAAAACATTCTGGAAAAAATTGCTTAATAAAATGTATGTATTAGTTTCTGAAAAAATTATCTTTGACATTCTGACTGAAGGAATTCATGTTCCTCATTCAATATGGAAGCAAAACAAAATGTATTTCCATGCAACAGAAATATTTCTCACATAACAATTTTTTTAATTCAAGAAACCAGGAAGGAACTTTGCCATGAGAAAAATGGAAGTAATTTCTACTAGCCTATCACTCATAAACTATTTCTCTTCCCCATTTCTTTTCCTTTACTTTCTATTCCACCATACTGCCTTATCTGGTCATGTGTGTATCTCTCTCTCTATTTAATATATACTTTCATTTTTCTTTCTTTTCCCTCAAAACATACATTCCCTCTTCAATCATTTTGTGAATGTTTGAAATCTATTAAAACATACCATCGTTGGCTGGGCGCAATAGCTCCTGCCTGTAATCCCAGCACTTTGGGAGGCCGAGGCGGACAGATCACGAGGTCAGGAGATCGAGACCATCCTGGCGGAAAAAAAAAAAGAAAAAACCGAGCCGCGCGCTTTTTCCATGTTAGTAACACCCATCCAAACTCGCACTCTCAGCCTACAATCCCAGTCGCCTTACGGGAGCTGGGAAACTACACTAACCAGGAGAGGCTCTTGGACCCCAGCCCCCCCTTTTCCCTCTGGGCAGGTCTTCTTTTAAAGGGCCTTTGGCCCTGAGGTTTAGGGAAAGCCCTTACTCCCCCTGGGGGTAAGGATTTCCGCTAGGAAGGTGGGAAAGATGCCCCACCAGCCTGTTGAACATGCTTTTTGGGTGGAAACCTTTTACTTTGGGGGACAAAATTTGGGATCCCCTTTCCTTCCCACAAATATCCTTTAAGGAGTTCTAAAAAACAAAAAAAAATTTTTCCTCATGATCTTGGGCGGATGCTGGAATTGCGGGACACGTCTTGCTGTTTTTCAGCAGGCCTGGGGCTTTTTTATTTTTTCGGAAAAATTCCCAACAAATTGTCGCCCCGTAAGCCGGTTTTTTTAAACTAACACCGCTTTCTATCTTGAGCTACATTGGTGTTGAGGCGTCCTCGTTCCTCTATACCAGGCCCTTAGGCGAATAAGGCCATTGAAAATTTTTTTTTTTTTTCAGTAAGTTCTTTGATACTGAGGTCTGGGCCCATACTCCTCTATTTCTAAGCAAACAAGATATTTCTAGTTAGTGACCTTATTTACTACAGTGGCGGGTATATTTTTTATTTAACAATTTCTGTTAGTTATGGTTTTTTTTTACCCCGCCAGAAGATTTTGAAGTGGGCTTTCATTCTATTCCCACATACCTGTCATTTCATGACAAAAGTAGAAAAGCATTTATGCCTATTGGCGCCTTTCTTTCCCCAAGCAAGCAAATGGGGACATTCCTTTATTTTCCCCCCCAAGGCATGACCCCCCTAAACAATATCAAGGGTTGATTTGAGCTTTGTGAATAAACCAGTTTAACATTATTTTTCTCCAGAATAATAAATACATAATCAGTTAAGACATAAGGCTTATCATGTTTGAAATGAATATTTTTTGTGTTGTTGTTTGTTTTTTTTCTTTTTTTTGGAAAATGAAAGTCTCGCCTCTGTTCGCCCAGGGGGCCTTGAGTGCCCACTGGTGTTTGAAATTCTCCAGCCTTAACTGCAACCCTCCGCCTCCTGGCGTTCCCGGGGATTCTGCCTTAGCCCCCCCTGATAAAAAAGCCGTGGACCTTACAGGGCCCGCCCCCACGCTGGGGAATTTAAATTTTTTTTTTTTGTAAATTTTTAGTACACCAAGAGGTTTTTTTTCTTACCGTGTTACCCCAGGATGGTTCTCGATCCCTCCTGACCTTCGGTGGCCCCTGTCAGCCCTTCGGCCTCCCCCAAAAGTGGGGCTGGGGAAAATTTCGACAGGCCCAAGGAGCCTATTCGCTGCCCCCCCCCCAAGCCAACCGATGGCGGTATTTTTTAATAAGATTTTCCCCACATCCCAACAAAATGATTGAAAAGAAAAGGGACGAATGTTAATGTTCTGTGGTTGTTTGAGGGGAAAAAAGGAAAGGAAAAGAAATGAAGGTAATATACTAAAGCAACGCAGGAGAATACACACCATGACCCCCAGAAAGAAAAAATGAAGGCAGTAGGGGGGAATAGAAATTAAGGAAAGAAAAGGGGGGAAGGAAAATATCTTTTTTCTCTTTTTTTATACTGGATTGGCCTTAGTAGGAAATTAACCTTCCCCACGTTTTTTTCAATGGAAAGTTCCTTCCCTGTTTTCACTTGGCATCTAAAAATTTTAATTCGCTCCCCCCTTAACCCAACAACAAACGGGGAAGGAAGGGGGAGGGAAAAAGAAAGGAGAAGAATTAAACAATTTTTTTTAATTCAAGAAACCCGAGGAAGGAACTTTGCCCCATGAGCAGCAAAAAAAACAATTGGAAGGCTAAGTTTCCTACCTAAGCCTATCATCATCAATATTTCTTCCTTCTTTCTTTTTCTTTTTACTTTTCCAACCATACGCCCTTTATCGGTATGTTGGTGGTATCCCCTCTCCTCCCTCTATTTAATTATTATTACTTCCATTTTCTTCTTTTCTCAAAACATACATTCTCCTTCCAAATCCCATTGCATTCTGAATGGTTTTACGCAATCTAATTTAAAACCCATAACC